GAATTGTTGGCCTCCTTTTTGGGCCTGAAAGCCTTTGCGCGAGAGAGGAGCAATGTGCACATCAGACTCAGGTTAGATAACACCACAGCTGTGAGTGTGATCAATCACATGGGCACTAGCCACTCTCAGGCATGTAATACTATAGGAAAGAACATTTGGGAATGGTGCATAGATAGACACATTTGGATTAGTGCTGCATACCTACCTGGGAAACTTAATACTACAGCAGATGCTGAGTCTAGGAACTTTGATGTTCATTTGGAATGGATGCTTGATAATAATATTTTAAGAGAGTCTCTCAAGACCTTGCACTTTGAGCCTGAGATTGACCTGTTTGCATCCAGACTGAACAACCAGTTTCCCAGGTATGCAGCATATAAACCTGATCCCAATGCGGAGATAATCGATGCATTTACAATGCAATGGGGATCACTAAAGTTTTATGCATTTCCTCTTTTCAGTGTAATTCCTTTAGTTCTAAGCAAAATGTGCAAAGAAAAAGCGGAGGGAATAGTAGTCATTCCAGATTGGCCCACTCAGAGCTGGTATCCGAAGGCAATGCAGATGCTGCAGAGACCTCCAGTGCACCTGAAAGCACGAAAAAGTCTGCTTCACCTACCAGGTCAGCCAAACCAAGTACATCCTTTACACCACAAACTCAATCTACTGGTGTGCCTCTTATTAGGGAGGCTTTAAATCAGTATAATTTATCAGAGAATGCTAAAAATATATTAATGGCGTCATGGAGAACAGGCACAACGAAGCAGTATAAGACATATCTTACTAAATGGCAATCCCACTGCAAAGTAAACTGGTTGGACATATTCAAACCATGCAGGCTTAGAAAAAGCCATAGATTTTTTGAGTTATTTGTTTCAAGAAGGTTTAAGTTATAGCGGAGTAAATACTGCTCGCTCGGCACTATCAACAATCTTAGGATTAGAGGATGGATTTAAATGTGGTGAACACCCACTGGTTTGCCGATTTATGAAAGGAGTTTTTGAACTTAAACCCGCCTTGCCCAAGTACAAGGAAGTTTGGCAAGTAAGCACCGTTTTAGACTATACCTCAAAACAACCAAACCAGCAAGCCAGTTAAACCTCAAAAATCTTTCACAAAAACTTGCGATGCTATTATGCCTCACAACAGCCCAACGATGTCAGACTATCCACCTCATAGACATTAATGGCTTACAAGCTTTGCAGGGAAAATTCCGTTTAACAATCACACACAAGCTAAAACAAACCAAACCTGGAAGACATATTGATCCTATCGAATTGATGTAGTTTAAAGGTGATGAAAAACTCTGTGTTGTTGAGCATCTAAAAGAATATTTGAAACGAACACAGCAGTTGAGGGGTGAACATACTCAATTCTTCTTAAGCTTTATCAAACCTTATCATCCGGTAACTAAAGATAGTATTTCTCGGTGGGTTAAATCTGTCTTACAACAAGCTGGTGTAGATGTCACCAAATACACAGCACACAGTAGCAGAGCAGCAACAACTTCACATACCAAACGAAAAGGAATGAGTCTACAAGACATTATGAAAACTGCTGGCTGGACATCTGCCACAACGTTTGAAAAATTTTATCACAAACCCGCCGAAACGTCAAAAACATTTGGACAAACAGTAATGAGTGGGGATTAAACTCGAACACAGTTTACGTTATTGGTTATATAACTTTATATTATGAAGTATTAATTGTTATTGTCCTTCATAAAAGTTGATATTCGTATGAGGAGAACTTTGAAGTCTCATGTGACTACGTCGTGACGTAGGCTGATGACAAGATAGAATTGGAAATTAAACGAGACTTACCTGTAAGTTGAAGTTTGATTATAATTCTGTCTTGTCATCAGCCAGGAACGAAGGAGTCACATGCCCAGAGCCCACCACCCTGGCTATAAGGACTCCTTCGTTCCACAAAAAATTTTCTGCTCACACTCACTTTAAAGACTGACTGACTAGCATGCGCGCGCATCTCATGTGACTCCTTCGTTCCTGGCTGATGACAAGACAGAATTATAATCAAACCTCAACTTACAGGTAAGTTTCGTTTAATTTCCAGTTATCCTTTTACTTATCTTAATATGTGACCAGGATTCTCGTTTGCAGTTCTGGCAGCTTAGTAGTATTTATAGGTGGTGTGATATTCGAAAGGATTTTACCGACTTAACACGTGTAGATGTAGATATATAGATGAGATAGGTGTATTGTAGATTGCTTTGCGAGCCTTTGTGCTAATTTATGCTCATCTATTTTAGCTCAGTTACCACAAAGGGGAAAGCAAGGTCAATTGAAGAGCCATTTACTTCAGATAGTCGGTGCATTAATTATTGTGTTGTGGACCTTTTAAACTATTTGTTTACGCTTAACTATATGCAAGTTGATAGCAGATGTTTATTCTCACTTGTCACAGTGCAATAATGAACTTCCATAGATTCTCCACAGATGAAACGGATGATTAAAAAAGATTTTCGATCGTTTATTAGATAAAAAAATTTCAAGTACATCCGTAGAATGAATGAACAGCGTCAAATGGTTTTGGCAATGTAAAGAACTGACTAACAATGTCTCATCCACATGTACATATAACCTTGTAAGTTTTAGTCTATAGTCATTAGGTCAATTTATCTGAAGAGTACCACATACTGTGGTACGAAACTACTTAGTAATAAAGATGCCTAGTGGATTTTGTTGATTTGTTGTACCTTACTTTAAATATGCTCTGGTTTTCGATTGAACACTTTGCCAAAAGTTTTTATAACCAACAAAAACCAAATTTTATATATATATATACATATATATATATATATATATATATATATATATATATATATATATATATATATATATATATATATATATATATATATATATATATATATATATATATATATATATATATATATATATATATTGGGTAAATAACATCTAAATCAATCCACTAGACTAAAGTGTTTTGCCAGTTAGTAAAAGTGGGAAGATAGGGGTATTAATGAACGCCAAAGAGGGAGCACATGCGTGGAAGATGTGAGGGCATGCCCTTCCTGAAAATTTTTGAAATCTAAAGTTCCTGAAATGCGATTTCGTGCATTTGAGGCTGATGTTATACCGAAGTCCAAACATTGTAAAGTACATGAAACGCATGATATATCACGCAGCTATAAGGCCTGGAAACATTACAATGAACATATATAAAAACTTCCCTTGGTTTTTCACTGAAAGCTTGTTCTACAGCAGACGGTCATTAAACTGAAGCATTCTGGGAGTTTCGCGATACGCTCGTTATCATTATACTTTCAGTACCGACTTCGTAAATGTTTGGCTCCTCCCTCCAGCCCCCACCCCCCCTCCCCAGGCATGCAGGCATTGCAGCAAATTGTTATAATAGTACGCGTGTCAAATCTATAAATGGCAAAGATGAAGAGGTAACCTCAGCTCGACTCGCGTTAGCCACGAAATTTAAATTACGAAAACTCAAGCCAACCTCAGTTCCTTTCATTACTGGATAAACAACAGTTCTTTCAATGGTTTGGAAGTTCAAAACTCTTCAATTAAAACAAACGGTACGTACAGATAAATAGGAATCCAAAGTAAAAGCTTCTTACAAATACAAACAATTATAATCGAGAAACTGAAACTAGCTTTCGTCCATTGTATGGATGCAACTACCTGAACAATACAACGCGAAATTTGACGTTTCGAGAAGTTAGTATCGGAGTAACTTCCTGACGAAGGCCTTCGCTCTAAACGTCGAGATTCGCGTTGTATTTTTCATGAAGTTGCATCCTACCAACGAAAGCTTGTTACTATTGGCACTGCCTACACTGGCACAGAAATCCGTCCCAGAAACTAATGCTACAGAGTATGTCCTAATAACTTACATCATTAAAAAGTTATATAGGAACTTCTTAGCGAATAAATCTAACCACTAGTACTCGCAATGAATGGAACAATCCATAACATCCCCTCGTAGCGCTCTAGCATATGTAGGTAAATATACAGTAAACATTGTGTCTAAACAATTTTAGATAATTCGCCGTTTAATTTCAACGCAAAGTTATGATAATAGTATAAACCATGAGTTCAGTCCCAACATAACAGTTTGCCAAGCGTGTGATAACCTTCTTCAGTATAGTGCCCTGTATCACCAAACCTCAATTCACTAACAGGCAGGTATTCCTTGTCCACCAGAAATCCGCTATCTTCAACCCATTGACTCGACCCACCGTCACAATTGCATGGTCTTGCTTTGTCCAAACAGCTGTCAGTCATTCCACAAGCGCATTTTTTACTACCTTGGGTCGCCCCACCCCAGTATATCATCTTATAACCTTGACGAGATACCCACCATGAATCCGGGCCTGCGGAAGATTGAAGGTACAACCCGGCATTTTTACAATACCATTTGATGAACTGTTCACAATAACCGGACGCGTTGATAACGTTTACGATTTGCTCCATGGTCAAGCTGTTATATGTGATAGATTTTTTGTACTTGCCTTTGTCTTCGTAGCCATTCACGTGTGTGCTTTCTTCACTGTCATGACTAACTACCGTCACACCAGTTCCATTTTTGTCAGTCATGTCGCAGAACACTGTAAATGGAGCTTCGTTTTCCTTTGGTTGAATCATATAATAACCGCTAGGTGTTTCTGGTTCATCAGACTTCAACATAGAGCATGTAGAAGAGTAATCTATATTGGAAGCAGATTTTACATTACAGTTACAAAAACAGGGCAGTGCTTTTCTAAAGTAATACTTAACTGATGATTGGATATGAGGATTCATCGCTTACAAGACTAGTTCTGAGCTGGGTTCGTTCGTTCGTTCGTTCGTTCGTTCGTTCGTTCGTTCGTTCGTTCGTTCGTTCGTTCGTTCGTTCGTTCGTTCGTTCGTTCGTTCGTTCGTTCGTTCGTTCGTTCGTTCGTTCGTTCGTTCGTTCGCTCGTCCGTCCGTCCGTCCGTCCATCCGTCCATCCGCCCGTCAGTCCGTTCGTTCGTTCGTTTGTTTGACTGCTTTTTTCTGGACATGAGAAGCTGGATGCATGACGCGTCCATAATATACAGCAAGCTGAATACATCGCTTTCGCTGATCAAAGTTCAGAGTTTCTACGTTCTGGTTGGTTAATTACAAATTCTTAAAGCTTGAAGCAAAGCGCTCAAAATGTTCTCCAGCCAAAATGTTTTTAGATTTGCTCCAAGTCTCTCTTTTATTGTCATATAGTGTCGATCCACTATAGTGTACATTACATGATGTAGCACGGAGGGGCGGAGCGAGAAAGAGAGACTTGTCAACTTCGGAAAATCTCGGTCAAAAACTGAGCCGGAAATGCAAGACTTGCATTAATTGTTTTCTGTTAGTGTT